AAAAAAAAAAAAAAGAAATACCTAGTGTAAATGTTCACAAAGGAGCCTTCAGAAGAAAGTATACTTCAGAGAGGCTGGGCATAGGGTTAGTGGGCAAGTGAGGAACTGAAAATAATTTCCAAAATTTTCCTCTAGGTGAAGCGTTGGGGAGTGAGTGGATAAAATATTTTGGGAAACATATTTGTTGATCAATTTTGCAACATTACTAGAGGAACGCAGGTTTTATCATAACTACTAGATATGAGAAGGGAAACCATGACCATTATAGAGACAAATGACAGAATTTTCAAATCAACAAGAAGGCAAAAAGGGAACGAAGAAAACTTTTCCAAGCCAATTATATAAATAAAAAGAATATGGCTGGGCACGGTGGCTCATGCCTGTAATCCCAGCACTTTGGGAGGCCAAGGCAGTAGATCACCTGAAGTCAGGAGTTTGAGACCAGCCTGGCCAACATGGCAAAACACTGTCTCTACTAAAAATACAGATGGAGTTTCACTCTTGTTGCCTAGGCTGGAGTGCAATGGCGCAATCTCGGCTCACCGCAAACTCCGCCTCCGAGGTTCAAGCGATTCTCCTGCCTCAGGCTCCCGAGTAGCTGAGGTTACAGGTATGCACCATCATGCCCGGCTAATTTTGTATTTTTAGTAGAAACGGGGTTTCTCCATGTTGGTCAGACTGGTCTCAAATTCCCGACCTCAGGTGATCTGCCTGCCTCAGCCTACCAAAGTTCTGGGATTACAGGTGTGAGCCACCGTGCCTGCCCACGTTCTTCATTTTTAAATTGAGCTAAGTCTTACATACACTGAAGTGTTTTTATGTGTAACTACCCCCCAGATCAAGATACTGTAGAGAACATATCCATCTTTTTTTTTCTTTGAGATGGAGTCTTGCTCTGTCGCCCAAACTGGAATGCAATGGTGCAACCTCCAGCCCACTGCAACCGCCGCCTCCTGGGTTCAAGTAATTCTCATGCCTCAGCCTCCCCAGTAGCTGGGATTACAGGTGCCTGCCAGCACACCCAGCTATTTTTTGTATTTTTAGTAGAGATGGGGCTTTGCCATGTTGGCCAGGCTAGTTTCAAACTCCTGAACTCAGGTGATACGCCCACCTCCGCCTCCCAAAGTGCTGGGATTACATGCATGAGCCACTACGCCTGGCCATATCAAGCATTTTAGAAGAGTCCTTTGTTCTCTTTCCCAGTCAGTTCTCAAAGATAACCACTCCCTGGCTGAGTTCGATTGCTGATGCCTGTAATCCCAGCATTTAGGGAGGCCAAGTCGGGTGGATCACCTGAGGTCAGGAGTTTGAGACCAACCTGTCCAACATGAAGAGACCCCATCTCTATTAAAAATACAAAAATAGGCCGGGCGTGGTGGCTCACGCCTGTAATCCAAGCACTTTGGAGGCCAAGGTGGGCGGATCACCTGAGGTCAGGAGTTCAAGACCAGCCTGACCAACATGGTGAAACCCCGTCT